AAGATAATTTATTGGTTATTCAAATAATTCTTAACACTAAGTTTAATGTCACAAACACAGAGACACAGTGTGGCATCATTTTGAAGATACTACAGAGACTCATGTTTTTCCCACTGGTATTCTAACCAGCTAACCAGTTCACTATTACTAAAAATGAAAAGCAGGATATTGGACCATGAGAGCTGGATGTAAAGTAGAAGGGAGGGGCAGGAGCCACCGAGGGAATAGATGGAGAGGAGAGGGAGGCTGTGATGAAGGAGGCTGATGTCATCTTTGATGATGAACCAATCAGTGAGCAGGAAGGGTAAGAAGGCAGGGTTTGGAGACAGAGCTCTGAAGGGTGTGTTTTATGTACCACTGCAGATCCAATGCAATACAAGACTTTAGAATAGGAATGAGCCAGACGACAGAGCTGCAAAGATGCTGAGATAAAGAAAAGATAGAGATAGGAATGTGATGAGGAGAAAACAGACGGGATAAATCAACGGGATAAAAGACAGGTGGAGATAAAGAAAGAGGAGGAACACCTGCAGAGGTAAAACAAAGGCTTAGCAGGCTGACGCATGTGTCTGAGTGTCAATGAATGTGTTGGTGTGTGTGTTTGTGTGTGAGGTTGGGTGGGTTTGCGAGTCAGAGGGCTGTGGAAGAGATCTGTTACATAAGACACTGGCAGGTATGAAAAACTGAAACATCTGTGTGGAGGTCTGATTGTTTAGACTAAAAATAAATGAATGTTGGTATGTTTTAGACTGGGCCATAAGATGTCTGTTTGCCACCTTTATGATGCACAGAAATACCCATGTGGAGCAAGGTAGGAGTGGCAGTCTGGTCGTCCTTTGGCAGATTAAAAAGGAAAACAGAAGGCAGTCTGAGACACATCCACTCTTTTATTTCTACCGTTCATTCACAATTCTACTTTGATGTCACTATCAGTTAGTAGAGCAGCTTAGAAAAAGGCTACACCGCTCTTCAGGGAGTGTCTGACTTCCTTAGTTCAGCTTTATCAGTCTCTGATGTCGTACATCATCTTCAGGCGCTTGTTTTTATTAATATTGAATGAAATGAAGCACTATACAAAAAATCTGTTGTTAATTATTCATACTAGTAAAGCCTCCTTTCTTTCATTACAATTTCAGACTAAAGTTTATCAAGAATAATCTTTTTTTTGTTGATCTGATTTGACTAAAGAGTGGAATGAGCATTTCGCCACAAAGTTACCACTGATAAATCAGTAAAATAAAGAAATTAAGCTGGAGTCAGATGTTTATGTCAGTCAGTTTATGTTTAGTTTTGGCTTAAAAATATTATCATTTACAAAGAATGTTTTATCACATCATTGATTTTTCAAAAACAGCTTTGAATTCGTTCTGGATTTGTTCTGATGCGCATACTGTAGGATCAAAAATTTACCTTCACTCTCATCTATAAACAAACCCTTCCCTTAGTATATAGATAACTGTATACTTTTCTAACCATTACCAACCTTCTGGCATAAATTTAGACCTTTTCCTGGCAGAGATGGAGGAGTTCATAAATGAAGGTGTTTCTTTTCCTGCCACAGACCAGTCCATTAGTGCTTTAAATGGTTGAGGTCAGAACTTTTAGAAGGCCATCTAACTGCTGAGCTGAGCAGATGTTTTACATTTTTCATCTTTTGTGTGGGATTGCTCTGTACCACTTGCAGCCAAACATTCATCCATTTTCGGTCACGCTAATCCAAAGCGGGGTAACAAGGGGTGCAGGGTGCCTATCTGGAGTTGTCTATGGGTGTGAGGCAGGGTACACCCTGAACAGGTCACCAGAGAGACAACACAGAGACAAACAATCATTCAGGCACATAGTCACACACACACTTTAGGAGAATTTAGAGAAGCCAATTAATCTAACAGTCATGTTTTTTTTTGACTGTGGGAGGAAGCCAAAGTACCTGGAGAAAACCCATGCATGCTCAGGGAGAACACACACTCCTTGCAGGAAGGCTGGGAATCAAACCCAGAACCTTCTTGCTACAAGGCAGCAGTGCTACCACTGTGCCACTAAGCAGCCCCTAATGCAGCCAAACAGTTCCAAACCATTATGCTGACACCACTGTGTTTGACATTAAGTAAAATGTTCTTCAAACAAATGTCTTGTTTGTGATGTTTCACCATTAAAGCCCTTCTCCAGAATCAATGTGGGCAGCTGCTAACTTCAGTGCATCCCAAAGGTTTTCATTTTTTTACGAGGCTTTTCCCTCCTGGTTTAAGAACAGCATTTCTTCCCAGGCTCCAAAAATGTTACATCTAGTATGAATTTTCAATTCCCCTTAATTATTTATTTATTTATTTTTTTGATTTACATTGATTGACTGTCCAGCTAAGAACTGCCAAATCCTGTTTTGAGCTGCAAAAAGAAACCAAAGTTAGCTCATGGTTTTGTGCCGCCACAGGCACCAAAAAATATTTATCCCCAAAAACAATTAAAAGTTTTAGGATTACATTAGAGAACAAGTTCCAAAACATTGCACCTCATGACCCAAAAACTTAATTAGTAAAATAGTTCATTTATTTCACTCTATATTTATTCATACATATAAAATAAAATCATTATTTTCAATTTTAAATCAACACATTTTTCAAAATAATATTTCATTATTTAGTTTAGCATATCAAATGTATATTTGATTATTTAATTGCAAATGTATTTGCACCTTTGAATTTGATGATAAATTCAATATTTTAATAATTTATTAGATAAATATAGAAATGGTACAGCCACTTGTTTTATGGTACATTTATTTATTAAGTATTTCTATGTTTGGCCTTTTATATAACTCAGAAATCCCATCCCAATTATTGCATTAAAAAATATTTTGTGACCCCCCACTTAGTGTCTCGTGAGCCCAACTTTGGGAACCCCTGGATTCGAGAAAGGAGTGAATACATGCATGTGTGAAGTCATTTAACTGACTACAACTCATATATAATAAAATACTCTTATAGATAACAGCAATGTCTATGATGAGTGGACGGAGAGTTCTGACCACTTCTGACCACTGGAATACCATGATATTCATTTTAGGCCTGCGTTTGTTGTGGCAAAATGCATTTAAAGCTAATTGGGAAGATATGTTCCCCATGATCATCCGTCTGTTCTGTTTGCAAAGAACATAAAAATAAAACAAAAAAGCTAAAAAAAAGTGGTCCATTATTGAAAGGTTTATTTATATCAATCACTCAGCTTACTACTTAAAACCTATAATTGATCAATTGCACACAGTTTTTTTGTTTTGTTTTTATTTTCCTGTTAATCATGATAATTATTATAATTTAACTGGATTTCTTTAATGTGGAAATGTGGACTTTTTAAAAAGCCAATCAGAAAAAATATTTTAGCTTTATGTTTTAGTCATGATGAACCATCTTTTTTCTCTTAACCATTGTGTCTCACTGTTTTATTTTATTTTTCTTCATCCCTTGTTTATAACTCACCTCTCTTTTAATCGTCTCATTAGAAGAAAGCATAATGAAGGTAATCCATGAGTTTAATAATAGTCTAGCTTTGATTTGTGATGCAATAATATATTCTTTATTGTCTTGCATAGGATGTTTTTTTGGACTCACTGTTGTCAGTAGTCCATTAGAGCACTATTAAAGTCTTGGAAAGTAAAACACGTATCACTCAGTAAGATACATAGCATGGTTTCTGTTAGTATATAATAAATAAATCTAGAAGAGGAGAGTACTGAGCAACAGATGTTCTCCTAAACCCGTTCAGCCAAAGAAGACATTGTTTTATACTTCAGTTGGAGAACAGAAGAGAAGAGAATTAAATTAGAAAAGGATTCAGTTTTTGGAGTCTGTTGCCTGACAGATCTAAATAATCTCTCTGTGTCTGTTTAGTAATTGACTGGTCAGAAATGATCTGAAGGGAGTGGTTTCCAGTCCACTGCCATAGCAGACCCAGCAGCTGGTCCTGAGACAGCCAGAAAGCAGAGCCAGTAACACCTGGTTGAATGGCTGCTCCCTTTTTCTGAGAATAAAAAAAAATGTATACATAATTAAAATGAGGCTTGTGTTGTTAGTAGGAACAACAGAGGAGAAAATCAAACAGATGCGAAATATTTTTTTTCCCAAAATAATCTTTTCACTGTGCATTGATGCTATAGCTTCATTTGATGATCCAGAACCATCTCAGCCTCTGTCCCAATCAACTGCAAATTTTACAGCAAAATTAAATTACTGACCACAACTTATTTGCAGAGTACCAAAATACAGCAGATGTCACCCAAATGACTTCATAAGACTAACAGGTCCAAATTAGATCTTTTTTTTTTTTACAAAATAAAAATTAGAGATCCACTGATCTGATCATACCAGAAATTGGTTCAATATCAGCCAAGAAGCGAATGTCCTAATATATTAGAATGTATCCAAAATCTCAGATGTAACGATGCAGTTAGAAAATCTAGGGTTATCTAGTCCACTGGTTAATAATACATGGGGCTGTTGTTCTTATTGTTGTTAACTGTAGTTCTGTTTGAGTAATATCACTTCATCAGGCCTTTTTTAACATTCAATAATATAAAATGTGGAATTCAATTATGTATGATTTGTGCTGATATTTTATTAGGTCAATATTGATATCTGTCAATACCTGCAATATCGGTATTGTTTTGGAAATAATAAAGTTGTAACAGGACCCCCATACAAATGAGCCCAAACAGTTCAAACTAGTCTATATTTTTCCTTTACAGTATTTCATTTACAAAAAAACAACAATAATAAGAGTTAAAATTGTTATCTAATTAATCTTTTTCTACAAATTAACTTTACTATTTCATATTTTACACTTAATTACTTAATTAATTCAATAAATCTTACAAAGTTAAATTATCTTGCAATATGAAGAGATAGTTTCACTCATTCTGAGTAACTTTCTTTCAGATTTATAGTTTTTATCTTTCTCATTGTGCTCAGTATACATTTGGAACTATATGTTTGAAATACAGGGTAGCTTTAACACAGCCTTCCTGTACCTTTAGCATGTGCATCAGCATCAGAGTCTTCTATTTTGTCTAAAGAGTTGTTTAGGAACAGGAGCTTTGTGTATTTATTATGGTATCCAGTCCAAACTATATTTAAATACACTTAACTTGAAATTGAAATCATTTATTCATTGAGTTCCTCAAGGCTATATCCTTCCTCTTCTCTATTCTACCTACTTCAACTAGGATCCATCCTTCCTAAACACAATGTTACTTTTCCCTTCTACGCTGATGACAGCCAGATTTATGTGCCAATAAAAAAAAAAACATTTCTTCTGTGCAAGCAATCTTTTTAATTGTATTAAGGAAATTAAAGCTTGGATGTCTTTACATTTTCCGTTTTGTTCTAAAACAGAGGTCTTGCTGTTGGGATTCTTACATGTGAACTTGGGTCCATATTTGATACCTGAAGTGACCAACCTTGGTGTTAAGCTGGACACCTTGGCTGTTACTTTGAGTCCAGTTTATTTTAGCTGAAACTCATTTAAATTTTAATTAAACCTATTATT